GTTCAAGCCTCATGTTGGGTATAGAGATTACTAAAAAAATAAAATAAAATAAAATAAAACAAAAATAAAATAAATTAAAACAATTTTGTAAGCTCCTGAAAGTACTACAGAGTCCCAGGTTCTGTACCATCCACGGTCCTCCCAAGGCATTGCTAATGTTCTTCTGTTTCCAACCATAGGAAAAATGCTGGTTGAAGACAGAGGGGTGTGCGTGTGTGTTTATGCATTTACACAACATGCATACGTACCTGTATGTATTGTGTATACATACATATACGTGTATATACATGTACCTACACACACCACACAAATACATAAAGTTGTATCTTCTATTAATGTGTCACAAATTTCCACAGAACTAGTACTTAAGCAACACCCATTCATTATCTCCGGATGCTGTGAGTCAGAGGTCAGGGACAGCATGATGGGGCCATCTGCTCAGGACTCCCAAGGCTACAGTCAAGATATTAGCCGGGCTGTGTTCTCATCTGAAGGTTCTAAGGAAGAATCTGCTTCTGACTGCATTCAAGTTGTGAGCAGGATTTCTTTCCTTGTGTCTGTGTGACTGAGGTCCCCACTTTCTTGCCACCTGCCATTTGGGGAACACTCTTGGGTCTCTGGGCCACGCTCTGGTTCTCACCACATGTCTCTCATAAGCCGGCTATTTGGTTTTTCAAGGTCAGCAGGAGAATCTCTCCCAAGTCAGCTAAGACAGAGTCATATACCATAATGCAATCACAGGATGACATAACCTAATCAAGAGAGTGACATCCCATCCTGCCCCCAGATGCCACCTGTCCAGAGGGTGGGGATCTTGGGGGTCACCTTAGAATTCTGCCTACCACGGGAGCAGCAGCAAATAGCAGCAGCTGGACTTCCTTGTTCTGTGCCAGGCACTGTTCTAGGGAATCATACAAGTTCTAACACCTTTGAGGAAGATGGTAATGTCTTATCATCTTCCATGTTACAGTTGAGGAAACTGATACGTGCGAGGGCTGGGTAGCTTGTGAGGCTCACAGTCCAAAGCAACATCCCTGTGATTACAGGACGGCAGCGGTAAGACTACGAGGCATGAGTCATTTCCTTGCTATTTGTAGTTTTCTTGTAACTGTTTCATATATTACCAGATTGGTGCCCAATCAAAATTACACCTGCCTGTGCAGAGTATTTGGTGCCTGCCCCCCGCCAGGAGCAACTAGCACAGAAGCGGGGCTTGAAACTCAGGCAACATACCCTTGGGTTGTTGCCAACCCTCGTACCCTGGTGCTCAACCTTCAGTGTATATCCAGATCACCGGGAGGGCTTGTTGAGGCCCAGATTATCGGCCCTTCCCCAAAGCTTCTGATTTCAGCAGCCCTGAGAAGGAGCCTGAGGATGTGCATTTCTTTTCTTCTTCTTTTTTTTAATGTTTATTTTATATCGGAGAGAGAGAGAGAGAGAGACAGCATGAGTGGGGGAGGGGCAGAGAGAGAGAGAGACACAGAATCCGAAGCAGGCTCCAGGCTCTGCGCTGTCAGCACAGAGCCGACATGGGGCTCGAACCCACAAACCGAGAAATCATGACCTGAGCTGAAGTTGGACACTCAACTGACTGAGCCACCCAGGTGCCCCAGGATGTGCGCTTCTAACGAGATCCCCAGTGATGCTGATCCGGGACTGACTTTGATTCCGCTAAACTGGAATAATGGTTTTTCAAACCACCTGACGCAGGGGCTCCTCGGAGTTCTTGTTGAACAGACTAAATGGGCCAGCAATGAGACCTCTTAACCAGAATCTCTTGGGCAGAGACTGTGAGTCTGCATTTTAAACAGCCTTCCCCAGTGACTATGTAACACTGAAGTTAGAAAGGCACTCTGGAAAGGACCATCACCTCCCAGGTTTCTTGCTTGGCCAAAGTGGGCCGGAATTGGTCAAGTTTAAGCACCTGGCCTCGAATAGCAGTGGCTATTATCTCCCCAGAGATCAGCAGAAAACCGGCCTGAACCCTGACCGGCAAGGCTGTCAAAACAGCCTTGCTGGAAAAGGAGAAGCCCCTGCGGGGAATGGGGTAGCGCCCGGATCAATACCTGACCTCACGCGGCCCAGAACTCCTGTGACCTCACCCAACGCCCTGCACTGATGCTGGCAGGGCCAGTTCTGCGGAGTAACAGCTCCGCTGCAGGCCGGCAGCAGAGTCCCACCCAGAGATCAAGTCCACAGCACAGTGTGTCCGGAAAACCCACATCAAGACCCACCCATCACCTCCCACAGGCACCTCCACCTGACCAGACCGGGGCCACACAGAACGCCCCCTCCATTTCCACAAGCGGAGGCCTCTGCCGGCTCACTTGCTTTGCCCCTCCCGTTGTTTCCAACGGTTGTCCACACGGCAGGCAAGGCGTTCTGTGTCTTCTGGGTGCCCTACAAGCCCCTGTCACGGTTCCTACGTTAACATGGCAAGAGGCTCCAACACCCTCACCTCAGCCCCCCATCATCAGCGGGATAATAAGGCAGATGCCACCCACGCCACCTGAGGCCAGTTCTTCCCAGGGACCTCTTCCTACACCACCCCTGGACCCAGCCCAGGCTGTCCTCCGGCTTCCCTGTGACGCCCGGCCAGTCGGTAAATCCTGCATGGAATGACACAACTTGTGTTGGACAGGACCTCCTTTTGAGAGATATGGAAACTCAGTCAACCCTTCACCAATTTTATCCACTGACTTTTTTTTTTTAATGCCAAGTCTTCATTTCCCCTTTATTTTTTTTAGTTAATGTTTATTTTTGAGAGACGGAGCATGAGTGGGGGAGGGGCAGAGAGAGAGAGACAGAGACAGACAGACAGAGAGACAGAATCCGAAGCAGGCTCCAGGCTCCGAGCTATCAGCACAGAGCCCGATGCGGGGCTTGAACTCACGAACCACAAGATCATGACCTGAGCCTAAGCTGGCGCTCAACCGACTGGGCCACCCAGGCGCTCCTTCATTCCCCCTTTAGATAAGAGGCCGTCCTGCGGGCGTTAACGCCAGCCTCCTCCTCTGGCCTCAGTCTGTCCCCCTCCAGCCTCTGGGGAGAAGCCCAGCCCTGGCCCTGGAAGTTGAGGAGGCCAGGAGGGTATTAAATGGCACCTGTTTATCCTGTCAAGTGGCAAATGGCTTCTTGTGGCCTTTTATCAAGAGTGTGTGCTCACATCCAAACCGGATAAAGTGCCAACCCCGCAGCGGCCAAAATGGCCCCAGTAAACCAGAGTTTCAATTGGCGACAGCAACAGGCTCCTCAGGACAGGAGGAAAGGGTAGGATTCTCTTCTGACCCGAGGGAACCGAAGTTCCAGGTGCCCCCCAAGGACAGGACTCTGTCTGGGTGCCGGATGTGGAGGCTCAATGGGGAGCACAACTCCGGAACTTTGCTCCGACGCTGCCTCTGCCTGGCGACAGCCGGTCTCCGCGCTTCGCCAAGCATGCGGTCCTCAGAAACTTCTACGCGTTTGTATACAACCCTCGTGGTTCCTACCTTACAGCAATGCTATCACCACTCCACACAAAAACCTGTGGTTCCGAGAGATTTAAAACAATAATAATGGGGAGAAAAAAAAATAACTCGTCCAAGTCACACGCTCCGTAAGTAGCAGAGCACAGCTCCGACTCCAATCTGCCCTCAAACCCTTGCCTTTAACTTCTGTATTCTTGTGGAATTGCCCAGAAGGGACTTCTGAGGATCCGAACCCAACACTGACGTCCTGCAGACAACCTTCTTCATCAGGCACTTCTTCCCCTTTAGCAAAGCAACATCGTGCCTTATACAATTTCTGGTCTAAGGACACAGCTTTTTATTCAAAGTGTCTCTGCCTGGGCCTCCAAGTGGTGGGGGTCATTGGATGGATTTTAAAATGAGATTTCCAGGTTCGCCCGGGGGGCTCAGTGGGTAAAGCATCCAACTCCTGATTTCAGCCCAGGTCACGATCTCACAGTTGGTGGGACGGAGTCCCCACATCAGGCTCTGCACTCACAGTGAGGAGCCTGCTTGGGATTCTCTCTCTCTCCCCCTCTCTCTGTCTCTGCCCCTCCTCCGTTCCCACACTCACACTCTCTCTCAATAAATAAACTTAAAATATAAAATAAAATAAAATGAGATTCCCAAAATGGCAGATTATAGCACTTAAGAGAAGTGATGTTCTCTCCGGTATCAGAAAGCAGAACTCTAAAACTTGGGCCTCAAAAGATTATAATCTCTTCCCCTAGAGACCTCTTCTCATTTTGGAAGAGCCTCAGACACCTGATGGGAGTTAGTGCACATTTTAAGTGGCCAGTCCTGGGGCACCTGGGTGGCTCAGTTGGTTGAGTGTCCAACTTCGGCTCAGGTCATGATTTCATGGCTCGTGAGTTTAAGGCCCGTGTCAGGCTCTGTGCTGACAGCTTGGAGCCTGGAGCCTGTTTCAGATTCTGTGTCTCCCTCTCTCTCTGCCCCTCCCCTGCTCACGCTTTGTTTCTTTCTCTCTCTCCCTCCCTCCCTCTCTCTCTCAAAAATAAACATTAAAAAAAAGTTTTTAAATAAATAAATAAATAAAGTGGCCAGTCCAGGGGCACCTGGGTGGCCCAGTGGGTTGAGCCTCCTACTCTTGATTTTAGCTCAGGTCATGACCTCACAGCTCGTGGGCTCGAGCCCCACCTCGGGCTCTGAACTGACAGTGTGGTGCCTACTTGGGATTCGCTTGCTCTCAAAATAAACAAACATCTTAAAAAAAAAAAAATAAATCAAGCAGCCAGTCCAAATGTCCACATCAACCTCCCGCCTCACGGGGGTGAGGCTGGCAAGCCCTATTTGGGTTTAAATGAGGGTTCTGTGCACCTCGACACTCGAGACAAATTTCACAAAGCCAATCCAGGAAACGGGGCCCCCCCTCTGACGTTTCCAGCCCCACAGTTTCCATGCCCTTAATTCTCACAGATTTTAGCTCAGACTGAATATTTCAGTAAGGCTGGCACCAGGGTTCCCCTCCCCTCATAAATACTTCATTAGTCCCACTACATCTTCAAACTAGGCTTTAATCATAAGAAGCCGAGAAAGACATTTCACCCTGAATAAGCCCAAGTACCGAGTATCGATTTGTTGTTCTTCTGAAGAAAATGCAGGTGTGGGACCAGGTGGGCAGTAAAGCAGGGTGCAAGGACAAGCCTGACCGAAGTAGGACAGATGCACGCAGGTTCCCCCTTATCCACAACCTTCCGTCCTCCAAGGCTAGACTCGGCTCGCCCCCTTCACCACCTGGGAAGAGAGGCAGATCTAGACCTTCCTCCCTACCCTCCTGTCCCTGAAAGCAGCACAGAGCCTTTTGTAGGTTTCTGGAGGCTCTTATTTCCAGGCATCCTAGGAGGGAGAGCGACCCAAATAGAGACTCGTGAACTGAAATCACTTCGATGCCGCCCGGACCGTAACCTATCTGGCAGACACACTCTTCACTGTTAGTGCTAAATAACCAGTGCAGTTAAATGGCGTGTCAACCGATCCCCTACTCAAGGTGGCACTAGGATTCTCAGTCCCCTTGCATGTGCATTCCGCCTAAACTCTACCCAAGTGCCTATCTTTCCTTCTGTAGAGAGATCTCATAGGACAGGACAGTGCCCACCTGCTGTGCTGAATCAGTAGGTTTCATCTAAGGGTCACGATAACCCGGAGAAGCATAAACTCACTTTGCAAAAGAAAGTGTCCCAAGCAGTGGTCTTGTGCTTTCCCTTTTCGGTCTTGAAAAGCACATGTCTGTTTTATGTTCTCCTCCAGCTCAGACAAGTCCTCAGCAGCTCTGTCGTGACGCCGTTTGGGGCGCGCATCGGTCCCGTAACCACGGGTTTCTGCACACACAACAAATTCCGCCACTCAGCATCCCAGCTCAGAGCCTGTTTTATCACTTGAGAAGTTTATGACCCTTGAAAGTGAAGTGTAGGCCCCACAGTTCTTTAGGAGACCAAGGGACAAGATAATAGCAAAGGGTTCTTGTGCCACGCTGGGCTCATTTATCAGTGATCAACCAAGAAAAGCTGCAGAGGCCCTTTGGGCCTCTACACGGGCTCCGAGCTTCTATTCCCAAGTGCCAGTGGCCACAAAGGAACTTTTGTTTAAATCAGGGACAACCAGGGTGGTACCACCTAACAAACTGGATTTTCAATGAACACTTAGTACTCAGGGGAATGAGCCATTTCAGCTGGAACTTTCTTAGCTAAAGTGTCATCAGGCCAAAGGGCTAAACTGGGGCCTACAGCAATAAGCTTTGTGCAAGAAAGCATGTATTCCTTTGAAACCCTCCACCTTTCTCATGACCTTTCTCTTTGCCCTCGAAGGCAAGTGACTGGTTGGTTCTTCATGCTAGAGCAGGCAAGAGGGTCTTTCTAGGCCACGAGACAACATGCTGACGAGGCCTGTATTTCACTGGCAGGCCAGCCTTCTGAACTACCCACGTTACAGGCTCCCCGATGAACCTAAAAATAAACTGTCTTCACATAAAACAAAGTCTTGGAATCCTGTTTCAAGCAGAAAAATCGACCAGCTGCTAAAATGTGGCTGGGGCTGTCTTTAACCCAAATTATTTCAATTTCTGCAGGCCAGCCGAGAACAAAGGCTCTATGGGTACTATAGACTTGTGCATGGGTATCACTTTCTTCAGATCACAGGGATTCTCCTCGATAATCCACTTTAGGGTGAGCATATTCTCTTGTTCTCTATCAACTACACAATCTTAAAATCTCGCCCAGCTGGGGCACGAGAATAATCTAAGTTAAAAAACGTTACAGTTGGAGACGTTACTCCCACCCCATTCAGAAATTTCTCACTGGGAAACAGCTTTCGCCAGACTAATCTGGGCTCATGTTTCCCAGAAAACAGTATGGAACTGGCTAAAGACGGCAGAAATTAGGTTTGTCTGTGGAAGGGATTCTGGATAAGAAGATAGCATCAATGGCTCCAGGGACTGGTTACCTTTAGAATATCCTCCCGGAGACGAGTGCCTGGACCTGAGGGTGACGGAGACACAGGTGATGCCAGTGTAGATCATTCCAGGGCCCCTCCCCACCTACACACACCCCATGAAACACACCTCTCAGCTTGCAATGACAGCCTGGAGCCCTGGGCTGGGGTCTTCTCTGCCAGTCCCTACTGGTTTAACACTAAATTTAGATCCTAGACCCCACTCACCCTGACAAACTCCTGGCACAGTTCCTGGGAGCCTTCACCAGGGGTCACTTGATCTCAATGTGAAGAAACATTGCCAATTGAGCCTACACGGGTAGGAGAGACACAAAGCATATTTCCAGAGCCTTCTGTGGAGCTCTGCACCTGAAGGAGCGCGCCGCGGCCCCCCCCCCCCCCCCGGGGAGAGTGTGCCCTGAGGTTCTAGAAAGTTCTATTTCATGGTGGAGATGACCTCACAGGGGGAGGGGAATTCCAGATATAAAAACACTTTCCAGGTTTCAGCCACTGAGGATAGGGTCACTACTCCAAGAGAGGGAGGAACAAAAACTACCCATGTAGGGCATTTCTTTCCTATGAGTTCATGGAGCCAGGAAGCCGCCGTTAACTACTCCATATGTTACCTAAGGGCACAGGTTGTTTCACTTGGCAGTCAGTGGCCTTCGCGCAAGCTGGTGAGTTTCAGTTTCCAAAGAGTCACAAGAAGCACAACATAATTTCTTGGTCAGTCTGTCTGACGGTCCCTGGGAATGAAGATTTGCACCAAAAGAAGTTTCAGGAATGCGTTCCATCTCTCCTAAGGCTGGAATACCAACAGCTGCAGAGGAGTCATATTCCACAATAACGGTCAGTTCTGGTGCTGCCCCTCCCTGTGGCTTTGCTGATGCCCGACTGGCACACAGTGAGGTCCCGAGAGACCCCAGGGCAAACATCTGGCCCCATCCCTGAAGCAAAGGGGGTGATGAGGAACAGACTCAAGGGCTATTACTGGTTGCCAGAATGGAAGATGCTATGGGTCAAGTGAAAGACGAAACCAAGATCAGCTGCGCGTATACATAAGCCAAGAGGCAACATCAGGAACAGACCAATGCAAACCAAAACCTAGGAAGAGGTGAGCCAGGAGAACTTGGGCCACTCCAACCATTCCAGACAGCAGGGCCCTGTTAGCAGGAGGTAAGGCCAGGCTTTTACGCCACGGGGTTTTAGCAGTGCCCCTCCCTGGCACAAGTTAGCACCTATGCCTTAATGTCTTCAACCTCTGGCCCTCTGAGAAGCAGCCTATTACAGTGGGCTGTGCTTTCCTCTCCAGCCTTGAGATTCTTTGGTGTATTTCTCTTCCAGGGAATATGGTAGACTCGGAAAAAAAAAAAAAATGCCACGGAACATCTGGAAATACAACGGGTATTCTTATAAATACAAAGCTGAGCTCTTAAAGTTAGGGAAACCTGTGATAGGTATGGTTCCTCCAAAAGAACTCTAGAATTTGTAAATGTTACATTATTTGGAAAAGAGGCCTTTGCAGCATGATGAAGTTAAGGGCCTTGAGATAAGAGACTATTCTTGATTATCCAAGTGATCTCTAAACGCAATCACCAAGTGCCTTTACAAGAGAAGGATGGAGAGAGGTCACACACACAGAAGAGAAGGAGCAATGTAACCACGGGGCAGTTACTGGAGTGAGGAGGCCAGAGTCAAGGAATGCCAAGAGCAGCAGGAGGCTGGAAGAGGCAAGGAACAGATTCTCCTCTAGAGTCTGAAGGTGACACCTCGACTTCAGCCCAGTGATCCTGACTTCAGCCTTCTGGCCTCCAGAACAGGGAGGAAACAAATTCCTGTTGTTTTAAGCCAAGCTTAATGGGAACTTGTTACAGCAGCCACAGGAAACTAATATGTCCACAAAACACATTAACAAAGAAATACAGAACTAAAAACCAGAGTGAAAAGCGCACACACACGCTCGGGCTGTTCAGAGGCATGTGCTGATCTTACGAAATGGTTGCCAGAGTTTTGTTGGCACCTGGACCAGGTAACAAGGCCTCTCTGTGGCTATGCTGGAAACAGGTGTTAGAGCTGCACCTCACACGTGCACGCGTGAGCACCAACACACATGCGCACGCGTGCACACGCATGTGCGCGCACATACACACACATTCCAGCCGCCTCAGAGGGCTTCGTGGTCAAGAAAAGAGGGACCTTGGATAAGGGTCAGGCACAGAAGCAAAGGGCGATAGGGTCTAAGTCCTGGATTGAGCAGAGCAAGAGGCTGATCTTCCTTAGTAGCTCGGTACCCCAACCCTGCCCTCAAACGGGTTCGGGTTCAAATTACACTGCCTGGGGCGTGAGGAAATCCCCAGTTTGGAAATTCACGTTGCCTGCGGTAATGGTATCGCACAGATAAAACCCCCAACGTGAGCTCAAAATCCAAACTTACAAAGTACATAGGGTAAGAAGCTATCCTGGACACGAGTCAACAGGAAAACAGAAGAACTGTGTCCAGAGAGGGATTATAAAATTCCTTTCTCAGGTAAACATGACTCTAAATGATTACACAGCTTAACTAGAAAACCAAGATCGAGGACAGGAGAGATGGCGGATTACTATAAAAAGAAACAGAATCCCTGGAAGATGGAAACACTACTCAAATAGAATTTCGAGAGGTTTAAAAGGAAAAAGATGTTAGGGGCTCCTGGGTGGCTCAGTCGGTTAAGCGTCCGACTTCGGCTCAGGTCATGATCTCTCTCTTTGTGAGTTTGAGCCCCGCGTCGGGCTCTGTGCTGACGGCTCGGAGCCTGGAGCCTGCTTCAGATTCTGTGTCTCCCTCTCTCTCTCTGCCCCTCCCCGAATCATGCTCTGTCTCTCTCTCTGTCAAAAATAAACAAACATTAAAAAAAAAAAAAAAAAAAAAAGATGTTAAATGAAAAACCTGACTGCCTGAGTTAAGCTGAAGATTAGATACAGCCAGAAAGAAAATTAATAGACCAGAAGGTAGCTTCTAAAATCATTTATCCAGAATACAGCAGAACGACGTGGTTGGACAATACGAAAAACAGGTCAAAATGAGAAGTCCAATTCAGATCACATAGGAATTTCTAGAGGCAACAGGAAGAGAGGGAGACAATCAGTTTTCTAAGAAATTAAGTGGCTTAACGTTTTCTGGAACTGAGACCCCAGTTCTCAGACCTGAGAAGCATAAAGCCCAAAGAGGATAAACGAAATTAGATCCACTCCCAGACACACTATAGTGAAACTACAAAGCTTCCAGGATAAAGATTTTAAAAGCAAATCCAAAGAAAAGGCAGATAGCCTCCAGAGAAATGACTTCAAGAGAAACAGAATCTGACAGCGACAATCGGAAGACAGGAACATCCTGCCCAAATGCTGAGAGAAAAATAAGCTGACCTAGAAATCTATACCCTGCGGATCTCATTCAGTAGCACTGACCAAAATAAACCTAAAAATCTTGTAGACCCTTCCATGGAGTCCTTTCTGCGGCTGGTCCCGATCTCCATGCTAGACTGGTCGCAACCATTCGGGAACATCTCAGCTGTCATTGGCCTGGTCTCTAGAATCCAACTCTTCATACCCTGGAGGGACGGGTACCCCATCCTCTGCTCTTCCGACTAAGCCAACGAACGTCTCATCCCTCCACCCAGCCCTTTGGACCCGCTGCTTCATTAGAAGTGCTGATCAGGGTTGGACCCTGCCTTGTCCCCACACAGACCGTGCTGTTTCCCCACAGCCTTCTGGGTCTTCCACAGCCCCAAGGGGCGGGCCCACCTGTCTCTTCCGAGCACTTCCCGCTACCCTGCTGGGGCTGCAGTCTCCCCAGAGATCCAGAGGGACCCACCGTGTAAATTCTTTCTCATATTCACTTCTCACCTAGGAATCGGAGCCAAGACACTGGCGTTTTCAAGGAGCCTGGAACACGTCTCTCTCAGACCAGCTTGCAACCTCTGTAAATCTCTCCCAAGCACTGGCTTTCTTCCCACCCGGTATCAGCCCTCCAGGTCCCTGAGTGGGTAGGGGCGGAAATCCCCTCCTCGCGTCTCCCTTCACCCCATCCCCAAACCAGTCCTCTCTTCAAATGTCCTGACAGGTCCTCACGACAGGGAACTGCAAACGACTTCAAGAAGATCAAAGAG